AGAAGCTACTAGGGGCTCCTGGCATCGCTACTAGGAGCAAGAAGCTAGTAGGGGCTCCTGGCACCGCTACAGTTCCGGGTCACTCCGAACTCCGTTCCGCGACGAGCGTGGACGACCAGCCTCCAGTTCACCTGCACCGGAACCTCTAGACCCACGCATTGGAGAACTGGTCGGGGGCGGTCGCATCGGACAGCGGCCAAAAACAACATGTTCTCTTTGAAGCCCGAACGCACCATCAAACAGCTTCATCAAACCTCCATCTGCACATATGCAAACACATCACACCGTGGCAAGAAGTTTGTGACACCCAGCGCCACACGAGGGTTTCAGGACCTAGGGGAGAAGACATGAGAAGACTATGTTGGCTGTTGAGTCAGGCAGCTCAAACCTTCAGAATCCCTTTTTCTGCACCGTCATTGAGTCCAAACAAGATCAAACAAGGAAGAGCCCAAACCAAAGGGGTGGATGTTCATTGGCTCTGCATGCGCACTTCTCAATGCTTTAAACAGGTTGAGATAGCACTGTTTTCAGAGCCCTGCACACGCTGACATCGGACACATGGGCAGACAGTAGACATTTGTTGTTCCACACATGAGCCGAACAAATCTTAAATGTCTTGAGGGATCTTGAGGGAGTTTCATAAACCCTACACTACACATGTGAGGACCCAAAGGCTGCATTTTTAGATTCATAATGGTCCCCAGATGCATATACATGATATGATACATTATGAGCAGATAGATGCAGATTTGCTAGCTATCTTGACTAGTCTTAGACTTAGGAGGTGCGCTTCGTCTAGAAGAGGGCCGCAGTTTGAACGCCTGCGATCGATGCCAAGAATCCATGATAGGCTTGGTCCAAACCGGAGATCTCATGCTCAGGATCCACACGTAAGCCCCGACGAAAATCACGCCAGTCTCCACTGAAGGCGATGCCGACCAGCAGAAAGAAGGGTGTCCTTGGGGTGGAGCCAGGTTGAACGTGGGAATCTAGTGGATCCATGCAGGTTTGAAAGGAAATCCACCATGGCCCTCCAAAGAGGTCGGGTCAAAAGTCCTAGATTGAGCGAGTTGATGAGCCCGGTCTCTAGTCCGTGAGTCGATGCTGTGGACGGTCCCCCGCCCCAAACAGGCTCTGATATGGATCTCCCGGTTGTTCGGTTCCTGCCATGATGTGATGGGAGTCCGTGCCTACCGGCCCAAGGACCGAACAATAGGACGGCTGGGCACAATAGGGGCATGTCTCTTTGAGCATTGGATGGCCTTCCAATTGTTTCCAATGAGGAGAGATCGCGATTCCTTGTTCTTCACAAAGCACCAACAGGAGAAAGTTGTTCCTGACACAAAACTTTTGCACTCCCTCTTCCCAAGCTGCTGTACGAGTAACTCGTTGGAGCCAAGGTCCGAACCCCAGAAGTGGGTTGGTCATGGGTTTCTTGGGGGGCCCCTTATCGAGCTGAACCTGCTCTGGCTCCTGTTTTCACTGCTAGGTGCAACATTTTTGGTGCAGAATGCTCGTAACCACTCTCTGGTTGACTCAAGTGTGCAGTGCCTTAAAGGCCTTTGGCTTTGCGGTCAGTTGAAACTTTCAGGTGCATTTTCGAACTGTGCAGAAAGATGCAGAAAGGGACCTTCTTGACTTTGATCTTCTAACCCTGCTCAGGAAAAAGATGGATCAAGTCCAAGCTTGAAGTCGAATCTAGTGTTCCACCATCGAATCACAGCACAAGTGGGGTGTTGGCTCAGCTTTGATCACTTAAAGACTGCAGATCAATGCAGGCTCTGCAACAACACTCGGGAAACTCTTGATCCTTTTGATTGTCAAGTGCCCAGTCCTTGCATTAGAGCTTGGGACATATTCGGGCCCCATGAGACCACGAGTTGGTCTGGTGTCAATTTTGGCACTCTTTGTGACTTTGTGTTCAACATCCATGAACACTCGCGCAATGCACCAAAGAACCTTTCCACTGGCCATTGACTGCGATCACACTGCCTCAGACACGGAATGTTGGACACGCAAAAGCCAAGGGCATGAGCCACCTCCTTTGTGAACAACTCAGTCGCGCAGGCATCCATAGAAAGCGCATTGGGTCTTGGCGAGTTTGTTTACCATCCTGCGAGACATTGCGAGACTAGATTTCCGCTTCCACCAAATGTACTGCGACCAGGAGTGCAACAATCCCTCAGCTTGCCTTGCCGCAGATAGTGTGTGCGAGTCAGTGAAGACGGCACAAGGCCGGATGGCAGTTGCACTGACTTCATCACAGCAAAGAGTTCAGCAGCGTAGGAGGAAGAATTCACATGAAGGACCTGGTCAGCTTTCACCCAGTAGCATCGGACGATAGCAAAGGCTGTGATTAGCCAGTAGGCCTTTGGCCAGAGCCGAGCAAAGGGCCATCCATCTCACATTACAACCACCGATTTACACTCAACAGGAGTGCGAGAGAGAAACAAATCAAGGCTGCTGAGGATGCTCTTTGGCAGGTCCTTGATGGTCTTTTGGGCATGGCCTTCGGTCCCACAACCCGCCGGCCCGCGTCGTACACTGAGCATTCGACTGCTTCATGTGGCTTCGACAAGGGGCCGCGATTGAGGAGGCCACCTTTGACAAGACTCTCAACTGGTCAAGACGCCGATGCTCGGGATGCCATCCTGGATGGTCCCTCCGGGGGGGAATTCTTCGACCGACTGGTGCCTTCACTTAGGTTCCTGCTAACATGTCGGCGCAACTATGAACAATGCCTCGTGTCTTTGGACGGATTTCTCTGCTAGCATGGTTTGCTCTTTGACCAACACCCTGCGTTTGCTCTTGACACTTAAATCCAGTGCTCTGCGATGACTTGGTTCACGCGAGTGGTAGGCGAGACCCCTGATATATAAATGATTTCGTGATTTTGCAGAAACAGTGTTGATTTCTAGCAGGCCCCTTGACAGAACAGTGAACCGTGGAACCCCCTCAAGCACCAGAAAAAAGGATCTGTCCATGAGTGTTCTGAGACATCTTTCAGCCCGCCACTTGCCAAGTTTCACCACCACCAGCGACCAGCCCAAGATAGCCAACATCAGAACCAGCTGGGCGCCCATTAATCTCAACCCGCCGCCCCGAAGAAGGCCATTGTCGACCTGACAGGGCGAAGCCGGCGTCTCGCAAAGACCAGGCCAAGCCTCTGAAAACACAGATTGAACCAAATGATGACTGATGACCCCATAGATACCGCCATAAGGTCCAGTAAGAATCAATCAACAACAAGTATTTATACAACTTCGGATCACTCTGGGGACAGGAACGCCTTTCATCAGGATTGATCTGGTGAATTCTGGACCTAAAGTTCACTGACCAAGGTTCGCCCTTCAACCAGGCTGGTGAAGTGGCCCGCCAACAGTTTCCAGAACCGTCCAATGGAGGACCAAAACAAAGAGCTGGAACCCAACTAGACCGTCTATGTAATACATACAGACGCTATCAAACACTAATACACGAATATAGTACTTGCATGCTATCTTCTGCTTCAATGGGGCCCAAACAGTCCCCGTGTCAAAAGTGGATCCTGGAAGAAGTCTCCTGAAAGAACTTTCCCATGCATGATGCCAATGTCCTTGCACAAAACATTCAACACAAAACTCACGCCAAAGACCTGCCATGTCTCCTGATACCTTGCAAATGTTCCACACACACACACACACACACATCAACCACCCGGCACTGGACTTCGTTCCGCTCCCACCCAGCCCTTGCTCCACCAACGGCACTGGACTTCGTCCAACCCATTCTGCCTGAATGCCGGGCAGGGCGGTGTCCGCGAAAAGCCCCACGGCCAGGATGCCCCACATCGCGGCGGAGCCGTGCACGCCGATGGCGCCCACGGGGTCGTCGATGCGCAGCCGGAACTCGACCCTGAGATGGAAGCCATGGGAGGACACCAGTCTTTTGATATAATTATAGAGAGAGTGAGTGAGAGGGTTGGGGAAGATCTTCCAAGAGAGGAGTTTCTAGATGTCGAGAGTATAGTGTTAGTAGTCACCGGCGTCATAGTCGTCATCGTTCTGGTGGTGCTAGTAGTAGTTGGTGTTGTCGTAGTCGTAGTAGTGACCATTCTTGAACAACCTGGCCAACTTTTCACTTTCACTCGTCCTGTGTACTTTTGGTTGTCCTGTTGCGTCATGTTGCTTCTTCACCCATCTGCCTCGAAAAACCCTTCAACCCAAGGGGCAGGTCGTTGGTCAGGAGGGCGATGATGGAGCCCACGAAGCCGATGACCAGAGCTTCGAAGGGATGGACGCCTTACGGCGGTGGGCCGTGGGCGCTGCACTGGTCGGCCTACGGAGCTCAAAGGTTGGGGATGCCAAAAGGGGAACGACATCAGAAAAGGACACCTAGTATATATCACACTCTTTAATGGATTTGCAACAGATTGCAAGGGAAAAGGCATAGGAGAACAATGGAATAATATTGAATAGTTACTGTATACTTCCAGCTGTCCGCGCAAAAGGTGGTCACACCGAAAATGACCATGCAAACATCCATGAAACGTTGCCCAAATGGGAAAAAACATGAAATAGGAAATCTAAGGGGCCCAAAAAACATCCAAAAACTGGCTCCAAACTGTGGTGAAACCTGAAGAGGAGACCGACCATGATTTTTGGAGGAGGGCCCCCGGAATAAAAACAAACAGCATCAACCAACCATTTGGGGTTCCAACATGTTCCAACATATTCGTGGATTTGGCGTCCCAAAATTGGAGGCCCTCTCACCAATCAATATTTGTGAAATTTACCTGCATGCCTGTAAGTGTTGCAAGCCAACAACAGTTTATTGCTCTGGGGCCTCGTGTGCAAAACCCTTCCCTTTAGTCCCTCTATGTCCCTTCTTTCAGTTTGTTGGTGCAACCCATCGCGCCCAGGCTGTACCGAGAGGCAGGCACAGGTTGCAGTGATGGACACCAAGGCACCCAGAATGCCATTAGCGATCTCCTGCGACACTCGGGGAGCAATGTTACCAAATGCTACAAGTTGGATGCCACTCTAACCCCGTTGAGTCTAGGCCTCTCAAATCGATGGGCGGTTGGCATTGCTAACATGGGCAGGCATCTTGCGCGGAAACCCCGCCAAACAACGACACATCTTGCTCGAGGAGAATACGCAAATAAGCACCAACGTTAATCAAAATGGGTTCTTTGGGGGCGAGCATTCTCCGGGGTCTAGCGAAAGCTGATTATCGTAAGCCTGCCGCCTGCCACTATGAGCTCGCCCCAAAACCAGGTGAAACCTCTAACTTCGCAAACTCACAGTGTGACTAATTGACACTCCATCCTGGCCCCCGACTGACCCGCCCAGCTCAACCCGCCTAACAGCAACCCGAACCTGTGGTGCTAGATTCCTTATGGCCTTGTGAGTCCTGATCTATATGCCCAAAGGTGGTCCCTGATTTGGGAACGTGAAGTGGCTCTATGGACACATCTTCAGCCTTTTTGTCCTGAACTTGGGATCGGTGTGACATCAAACGGATGTGGCCTCTCGGATTTGGAGTTTGGTTTTTGATTTTTTCAGGTCAGCTTTGCCGATTTCCATTGAGATTTGGAGATTAGGATGTCGGATGTGAGATTTTGGAGGCCTTTCGAGAGATTGGAAAACGCGTACGATGCGAAACATGTGAAGCGAAAAACTCCAGTTCCTATCATTCCTATCCTATCCAACAGTCTTTTGGGGGAAATGAATGGAAATGAGAGGATGTCAGTCAATGGGTGAGGAATCCTGGAAACAAGTGATGGCGAATGACTGCAGTTTGTACTTGGATTCAGCTACGCTGTGACGTTGAGTGCATCTGCAAGACTTGGTTCATAGGCCCCAAAGCAGTAGGCGGCAAACAGGGGGCAGCAAAACGAGGAATCTCAGTTCTACTCTGAGAGCAAACCAGAGTTTTGACAAAAAGTGATCGAGTGGCAGGAGAGACCGGGAGAGAACAGGAGAGCACAGGAGAGAACAGGAGAGACTCAGAATGACTCCAATCACTCTGAGCAGTTCAGAGCAATCCAGAGTCACTAGAGAGAGCTATTTTGCTTTCTGGAATGCTCTCAACTTCTCTGATCTGCTCTGAAACGCTCTAGTTCTCTTGAAAACCATGTTGTCTTAGACATGCTTAGACTCTGTATGAGTATGAGTATGGCAGAATGAATAATGACACCATGACTATTGACTAATGAATAAGTCTATAGCTTTCATTCTACGAAACCATGACTTTCCACACCATGATTGAAAGGGTCCCAAACTGGCGGCGGCAAACAGTGGGGAAACTATCTAATCTATATACTCTGGGCTTCTCTAGATTTATCTATTCTACTCTGAATGTATCTCAGAGTAGAATTGAGATTCCTCGTTTTGCTGCCCCCTGTTTGCCGCCTACTGTTTGGGGCCCTATGATTGGTGAGTGATAGCAACTGCAATTGGAAAAAACACTTTTAAAATTGCAGTAGACATTTTTAAAATGCAATTGGGATGACTTGGTGATAGCCAAGTAGACACTTTTAAAAGGCAATTGGAAAGTGCAATTTCTGCATTTTTAAGAGTGGGGGTATATCAAAATCACTACAAGTTGCATTTGCGCTTGTTGCAAGAGGAACTCGCACACACACACACATACACACAGGGAATGGGAGAGGCTGCGAAGAACTTTTTAGGTGTGACGATGCCCAGAACCTCCTAAGAAAGCGTGGCAGGCAACCTTGTCGCGGTTCTATTCACGAAACAGCAACAGCAGGAACGCAGTTGGACGTCTCCAATGGTATCACAGGTGAAATCAGTGTCTTTACTAGCGACTCATCAGCACCTCCAGTGCCCCCTAAGACCAAGGCAGTGGGTCCAAACCGGGGGGACCGACCGGTTTGACCAAAGCCGAACATGCCATGAATAGACGACCTGCGGAGGTCAACCGGTCAACCTACCAGGACCAGGGTGAAACGGGCTCTGGATGCCATGACCCGCAGTTCACACATGCACACCGAATGCTGACTGTCAGTGGTTGGTCCTCCGGTCTGATCAGCTTCCCTCTCGACTTCACCTTAGGGATCTGGAGAAAGCACAAAAGTGCCAACAACAAGCTCCATCCTATGCAGCCTCAACACCACCCAAAATGTTTTCTATCCAGGCTCAAGGATGCTCAAGGTTCCCTAATATCCCTAATTTGGTAATCAGCTCGAGGCGTCGAGTCACCTTGGTGTAGATCAAGGCTGACATGCCGCCCCCCGCAGTCGAGTTGATGGTGGTCACCGCGGCACGCGTGGCCACCAGCCACTTCTTTTCCGTAATGCCGAAGGAGCTCCCACAATTGAAACCAATCCAACCTCACAACAATCTGGGGTTCCTTTTTTTTCTCCGCGGGTAAGGACATGGGTGGGCAACGGCTGCCACCCATGTTGACGGGAGCGTCTTGTCACTGTGTCTTTTTTTGGGGCTGCAGGAAATTCCATGAATCCACTCATTCCATCGTGGATTGAGAGTAAATGGTTTATATGGACCCGTTTTTGGAAGACATCTTGGGGTTTGTGCCATCTACTCCGAAACCACCTATACCATTATCACCTCCACCTTCTGAGTCGCTATACTATACATAGATAGATAGATAGATAGATTGGACCAGCACCCTGGACAAATTGGGCTTTTGGCTTCCACACGCTTTTGCATGTTCTTACACTCTTGGCAACTAATCCGCCTAACCCGGACCCTGAAAGAGTTGAGTGCTTTTCGGACAAGGACTACGGGGACTAGTGCCTGTTTGAAATCTTGCACCAGCCTGGGGATAAAAATAAAAAAAAAAGCGAACATGTCAGGATTTCTCACACGTAAAAGTACAGCCCGGTATGCTCGACCTACAGCAGTCAATATTTAGTGATGTCCAAATGTTGACTAGGGTGGCATCTTGGGTGCTTCAGGATTTCGTTTCTCCAAGATCACATCGTCATGCATCATCTTCTTCACCAAGCAGCCCCACCAAAGCATAAAAAGCCCAAACAGAATGCTGGCCGGAGATGAGGCATGGAATTCTTGCCCTGGACGGCTCCCGTCGAAGCGCCCTAGCCGCGGGCCCAGGCACACGATACCTGGGACAGGCCGACAGGTCGACAGGACAATAAGAGCAGGTCGACAATAACTGTGCAAATCACACAGTCGTGCAGTCAACAACTAATATATATATATATAACTGGTCTTATCAGTTCTTCAATAAGGGTCATCAACCGACCGGTAGGCAATACCGGTACCAACGCATGTCTTTCGGAAACTGCCTCCCGAGCTGCCTATGAAGCCATTGATGGCGCCAAACATGTGGACCGGGCCACTGCCCGCAAAGTCATGAGCCCCAAATTCTTTGAGCCAGCCATTCTCCGCCCAAACCCAGTGTGCCACAAAGGCATACATCACCACCGAGTAGAACGAGTAAAAGCAGTAGACCATGAAACGACATCGCATGGCCAAACAGCCGCTCACAATCGTCGTGGAGGTGGCAGCGAAACTAAATTGAAAAATGTAACTGCTGAAGCGAAGCCTTAGATGGCCCTAAACATCACTCAAACCTGAGGGCATAGTGTGCTGGGGCGCTTGGTGTGCTTCTTTTACTGCACATGAACATGGTTGAACAAACATGGATTACCCAAAGCAAAGGCTTTTGAACATGGCAACGTGCAGTTCAAAAAGGAAACTTCCTTTCACGCGCGAGAACAGGATCCCTTGACAGAACCACCTGTTTTGTTCGGATACTCCTCTCTTCATGTGTTCAGGAACCAACACCACAAACAAAAAACTGTCCTCTTTTCGCAATCATGGAAGCCCTGAAAGAGTTTGGTCATTCTGGTTGCTGTCCACCAGGAAGTCGCCAAGTCCCATGAAGGAGTTGGATGGAGAACCATGCGAAATCCCGAAGCCAAGCATGTAGTATGCCAAACCACCAAAAATAACGTCCTTGGAACAGTGTATAAGATGCAAACGTCTTTCTTGGGAATTGAAGGAAGCACTGGTCCTTGGAATGGTGAGGAATGGTTGCACCTCAACAAATCAAATAACTGCCAAAAACAGACAGAAAAACGTAATCACCAAGTATCAAAGACATTCTTCAGCATGATGTTTACTTCGTGACCTCTGTGTGAGCATCCCATTTCCAACATTCCAAATCCACTTTGCATGGTGAGAATCACGAAGCTGCTGGTCAACACCCAGGTGGCATCATCCGCATAGTCGCCGTTCACATCATGGATGATCTCCTGGACCACTGGGCAAGCCGCCAAAACATCGCAGGTAGCAAAGGCGCCAGTGGCCATGGCAGCCAGGGCGACGTTGAAAAGCTCTTCCCACCAAGGTTCTGTTGGTTGCGGGGACCTGTTGTCTGATATTGACGTTCGCAACGTCCGGCGTTGGCCTAGCAAGCCCGAAACCTGAAAACACCATATAGCTTCCATAGAGATCATAGACAAGGATGACATGTCAATGCATGTCATTGTGGCTGGCTTGCTTCAGGTGGGGTGTCTGGCTTTCATGTTGGTTCTCGTGCATTTGCCCCTCCGTATGCATCGATCTACTTGTGATGGTCCTCAAGTGCATCAAATGTGGTTGAGGTTTTGGGACTGAACTATGATCTGTCTATATATCTACTATATAGATGCGAATGATCCAAAAGAACTTGCATGATACCCCGGGCCAAGGGTGGAAGGTCTCCCAGAAAAAATGGCAACAGCAGGAAACCACCTGCAAAATGTGAGGAAATGGCATCAACAGCCGCAACAACCAACCACCGGCAAAAAAGCACGGGAATTCGGATTGTGGGACTTCCAGGCCACTTCGAGGAGGTCGCGAAAACAACATGAACAGTCAAATCCTCCGAACACAATGCTCACATGCACCGTGTGAATGACATGAGCGCCTGGCTCCTGCATGTGTTGCTGTTGGTGTTTACCTTTGGCCCAAGGCTCCCTGGCTTGGTTAAAGCGGCGAACTTGTGAAAGCCCAACAAACGGCTTGTTAAGGCATGGTGTCCATGCAAAAACGTCCCAAGTTAGCTCAGTAAGCCAAGGACGAGAACACTAAACTTGCATAAACTTACAAGGTTTGCACTCACTTGCATTAGCTCAAGCCATGTGCACCTTTCTTTCCGCACCTTTCGTGCAACGTCTTGCAGAAGGCAGCAAGTCGCTTTCCCGAGCTGATGCCCCTGCATCTATCTGGTCAAAGAATAACCCAACACAAACCTGAACCTGTTCATGATGGACCCGGCTCCATTGCTTGCCAACCTCTTAATAAACTTCGGCCAGATCTATAAACCTCAGGGCCTCCCCGCCTCGTTGGAGGTGTGGACCGGCCCGGCTGAAGTGAAACGTGTGCTCAAGCCATCTCAAGCCTACTTGGTAAGCTGCAGTTGGTGGGACATGTGAATCCTAGTCGCGAGTCCTTCTTAATGCATGATGTGGCATGTCTTAACATGCGTCTCATTGTGCTGTCCTGCCACAAGGGTTTGTGTTGCATGCATGTAACTTAATCTACTAGGGAGAGCCCGAACCAATGAGTTTGGGTCTCCTATCCTCCTTCCAAATGGTTGACCTGGAGGTCTCCCTATTTCAATACGCATCCAAACATGTCTCATATTTCCAACTTTCGCTTGACCGTCTCAGCATGGCCTGTGTCCTTGCAACCAGGATGACAAAGTCAGCAGTGCCCCCTCCACTCACTACTCCAAAAAATGATAGGATAGCACATGTTTATACAAATAAATACAGCCACAACAACTGTAAACAAAACAATGAATCTACAGTAAATTTATACTTTATACACACATGGATAACAGGGGCGATGTTTATTGCTTACTTGCTTGCCCCCGCGCCAGTTATATATGGAAAAAGACTGCATGACCAATGACCAGCATTGCCACACCATCGAAGTGCCTTGCTGGCGGACATCATCCGTTCTGTGACAGTCAACTTCCCAAGTACTCAGTGCACTCGGTTGAGGACATGGTCTTCCAGCCTGTGAATTGAGGAATCCTCCCTTTATAATCCCATATCATAGTCTTAGTCCAAGTCTGAATCCGTCATGATCGCACATGTCCTCGATGCTGAACTCCTGGCGCCGAACTTAGGGGGTGACCGGTGGTGTTGCTCGACTCCCGCTACATTCCCAGTGCAATCTGAGCAAAGGCTTGTCCCTGCATGATCTGTATGGCTAGCCTGGGTTGTTTGACCTTGGTAGAATACAACTCTGAAAGGTCTCAAAGAAACCATGAACTTCTGAGCGGATGCCAAAAATATCTGCATGGTGCCTTCCCTTTACGGGAAAGATTAACCCCCAAAGCACATTATTAATCATTATGTGAAATGCCAGATCGGCCATAGAATATAGGGATTTCTAACGTTGCTAAGATATAATAAGTAAGGGGGTCCGGAGCAAATATAGTGCTACTCTATAGATATCGCTATATAACTTAATTACTATATGTACATACATGATCATATGTATACATACATATATATATATATACAGTAACTATACAAAATGATCTGCAGGTCTGCAGCCCCCGCACGGGTGTTTGGACTCATGACTCCTGCGTTGTTCCCAGCCGACCCGAGTGTCGGCACAGAAACTGGGGGGACCGAACGGGGTGACCGAGATCCCACGGATCCATCCGGCCTGAACCCGTGAAGGCAGTTCGAAGCGAAAAAGCCTGGCCATTCGACGGCTCGACTGGAATCGCTGGACATGTGACGATCGACGGCCAGAAGGAGTGTGGAAGAAAGTGTCTACCATCTTCTCGGCCCTCCAACATGAGAACCAGAATCTGTAGGGAAGTCGCTGATTCTCACCCTGCGGAGTGCCAACTTTTGAGCACAATGCGGCGCTGGAAAACGCGGCGATGCGCGACAGCAGTGAGTCTGTGGGAACATGGACTGCAAGGACCCCTCAACCCCAAAGGATGAAAACAAGAAAGTCGATCTTTCAAATACCTTCCCCAGTCACATGCCACAAACACATATATACAGATATATACAGCAGTTGTATATACCGGTACCTGAAGGGGGAAAAAGATATATATATATATACAGTACTTGTACAGTGTGTATATAAATATATACATGGCACCATATTTGGCATATACATGCTGCATATCCCTTCTGACGGGCACGTTTTTTCTCCCGCCGAACGTGTCTGAACTCGGAGCTCCCGATCCGTCGAGCTCGACATGGACCCGCCTGGCATCCCCGGTGCTGGTATGCCCCAGAATGAAGAGCGAGTCACCTGGAGTGTAGGGTACAGCGACAGAACCGACTAAGTGACGAGGGCATCAGAAGTTCAGGGCTGGTGTTGGTTGAAGTGGGTTGAAGCCTGCCAGCTGAGCAAGATACAAGTACCTGCAAACTGATGTTCATCTTCTGACCTCTTTATGCCATACTTTATGTCAATGGAAGGGATCAATTTTCTTTCCAGTGGGTCCAGGTGGCTGAGCCCGGCACCTCCTCCGCAAATGTGCGCCCATCGGACGTGCTTATCCGGGAGTCTCCTGGGCACACGGGGCATGGTGTCTTCCCCTGACAAGCACCTGGAAACTCACATGGAACCTGCAGCCAGCGCCTGGTGGCAGGAGGGAAACAGATTCCAGCTGTGTGTTTTGGCTGAGTTTTACCTTAGCTTTTTGAGCTATCATATATGCCCAGGCAGTCACGCATATCCGGATGATGGTCAAAAGCCCTTTTCTTCCATTTTCTTCCCGACGCCTTGAACATCTTTGTGCACACCTCTCCTTGGCTCCTTAAGATCTGTGTAGCTGCCAAAATGTTGACTCCAAATCGTCGTTGAACTTTGAGGCATTCCACCGAATCTAGCGGCTAGCGATCTTGCCTAAGGGACACAAGAACATACCCAAAAACACAGCCGCTCACATCCACCTGAGTTCCCGCACCACTCACCGATTTGCTGCTGAGACTGGGCAACAATGGCGTGGACCGCGCCCTCATGGATGGCCACAATGACACCTCATGGAGGGCCGCTGGGTGGGAAGCTTGGGAGCATGGCCCGGCCACATTGGCCAACGGGTGTCCATGCTCGGATGGGGAATAGACATGGAAAACTGAAGAGGACGGATCAAAAAAGTTCCTTCAAGTGGGCATGAATTCAGCTGTCCAGGACAGGGAGATGAAAGGGAGCCGGATGCCGATCTGACAGCAGAGTGAGCCACCCTACAGAGCTGCAGGGTTGGGGTGGCTGTACTTTCGTGGCTGACCTTCATGCACGTTTCTGTTGCTGTTGTCGTAGTCGTTGTTGTTTTGTGGCTGTGGTTGTGGTTGTGATTGTGGTTGTTGCTGGTGTTGTTGTTGTGGTTGTTGTCATTATTATTGCTGCTGTTGTTGTTGTGGTTGTTGCTGCTGCTGGTGTTGTAATGCTTGAGTTGAAAATCCTCAAGCAGCCAGCTTGCGTGCAAAGAATCTTGACTACCCAAAGGCCCATTTCAGTTCATTTCAGGCGTCACACAAAGGACCCCTCGGTAAAAAAGAATTATAGGACGACCATCAAAGACCATAGACATCCATAGACCATTCTCCAATGCAAAAATCCTACATGATCTTACATTTGATTTGAGCCAAGCCAGGCATGCGGCACCTTGCCACGCCCCAAGTCCGGCGCCGTTGTTCAGCAGGTGCAATGCCCCTTGCGCCACGGGGTCGCTCCAGTCACGCACGGCCTGGCGGGGAATTCGGCCTGCGAGCCAAAGAGAAGGGCCAGGTAGAGGGTGTGGAGTTAGGAACACCCCCAGCCCCCAAATCAGAAGCGTTTAAAGGTTGGATAATGTTGGATACGCTTTGGACATCTTTAGACCGTAAGAGTGCAGAAACAAACCTAGAAATATTTACTGTATACTATATAAAAAGGGTGAGGTTCTGGTGAGGTTTAGGAATGGGCCACGCAGGCAAAACGACTGCCAAGGAATCCAGGAAACCGAGTAAGAACCATAGGGGCTCGGGCATTGAAATGGTCTCCGGGTCCTCATGTTCTCCTTCTAGCGTCCAATCGCTCCGTTCGTAGCGATGCCCTTTGCTCCTAGTAGCTTCTTGTTCCTAGTAGCGATGCCAGGAGCCCCAAGTAGCACCCTTGCTCCTTCTTGTTTGGAGGTGTTTCAATGGCCCCAGGCCCACCTTCTCAGGCACCAAGTGCTTGTGATTGTAGACGTGGGTCCTCCAGCGAGGTGCGAGGTAAAACTGTGCCCAAAGGAACAGACCAACCAAACGGCGCCGGGGTGGGGTTTGCCACACAAGCTGAAGCTGGTGGAAAGCCGAAGAAAGCGGTGTTGAGTGGGGAGCTTCTAACACACAGTCGACC